TATGTACATTTTGAAACATAAGATTTTTTTTTTGAAAGAAAATTAACTGTCAAACACTGGTTACGCGGAATTTAAAAAAAAAAAAAAAAAAAATTTAAAACGACGTCGTTTTTCATCTGGACGCACAATGCAATGCGCGCCGTGATGTAGGATATAAATTGCCAAACATTTTGTCATAGCCATTAGATGAGGGTACGGTGCCTAACATAAGCACAAAGGTAAATAACATGCTGTACGTAAGATTTACAATTGGTTAATTAACATTCAAAATCTCTCTATAAATTCTCCGAATCACTAAACCAAAGATGCATCATAGCCCCAAGTTTCCTATTACACATTAACTGGATGTCCATATATATATGGGGCCTTGAGAGATGATTATATTATATTATCAGATCAGATCAGATCAATTGCATTAATGCTAACAAAAATGAAGGCCTTTAACCTCATCACACTAGCAGTTGTATTGCTTCTCTTGGGAGAAGCACAATTTTCGTTGGCTGCTTGCGACGCGAAGCAGCTCGACCCTTGCTTTAGCGCCTTAACGCTCAATGCCAAACCATCACCACTCTGCTGCGAGAGGCTTAATCAACATAAGCCTTGCTTCTGCGAATACGTCAAGAGTCCCACTCTGAATGAGTATATCATCAAGTCCCCAGCTGCCAAGAAAGCCAATGAACTCTGCAAGGTTAAAATTCCCAAGTGCTGAGAAAACCTCCATTTCACTTCATCATATCAATCCCGCCCGTCTATGTGTGCGCTATATTAATACTAACAATAAACACCTTTCTCTTTCTCTTTCTATTTTCAATTTTACTTTGTCTTGAATATTAAATTCATAGCCTGCTTGGTTATGATCCGTGTAGTAGTTATATGTCATCATTTGTATATATGAAAGGATACAGTACCCTCCCCTAAAAATGGGGGTCTTGTCTATTAGTTAAATTTAGACCAAGTTTTATTTAAATTATTATATATGTAGAAATAAAAAATATCAATTTCTTTTAAAATTTTATTTTCAATTTCAATTAAAACCACCTTTTGAATTCTATAAACATTATTATCAAGCATAAAGTTAATTGATTATATCTAGCTTTAACCTAAAAAAAAAAAAAAAAAAAAAAAAAATGGACCCCAAAACTTGGGTGTCTCTTGTCGTCGCCGTAATCAGACATGGCCATGGACAACCTTGTGAAATAGATAATTATGGTCATTTCTCCAATTTATATCTATTATTGACATATATAATTGCTTTTGATTCTTCAGTATAACAACATTTTTACTTTTAGTCATTTAACGTTTACAAATTGATCAAATTTCATCTAAACGTTTTGAAATATAACATTTACACCAAACATCATCCTTCTTTCATATGAGAACATACATTACATTTTAGACTAAATTTAGTTAAGTTCAAAAGGTTAGGGGTAAAAACTAATCAAAACAATACTTCTCTTATCTCTTATTTATTTATAATATTAATAAAAATAAAATCATCCGTGTGTAGTTTCCCGCCCAAACTTTTATTAATAATTAATAATAAGGTTATTTTTCTTAAAAGGGGGAAATGGAAAAGAATTGGTAGTATCAAGAATTTATAATGAAAATAATGTAAACGCGCCCAAATTTAATAATAACAAGTTTATTAAAACAATCAGTAATATATCTACTATACTCTAAGAGCCAAAGAGAGTTAGGCCTATAATAGGTAGAAAAAAAGACGGTCAAATTTTTTAATTAAATAAATGGCTCAGATTGATCATATTTTAAATATTTCCTAATTTAACCTTAATTTTATGATTATCTTACCCGTTAACTTTCCCGTAATTTATATTAGTTCACTGTTAACTTACTCATTGATTTCAATAAGATTAGGTTCCAACCCCATCCCAATAGAAGTTGGCTTAATTAGTACTCTATTTTATTCTTATAAACTAAAATAATAATTTAGTAGCTACAACGAAAAATAATACATGTGCATTTCTTTAATTTAGAATTATGTGTCTACAATGCTTTTATTAAAAAAAAATTATTCATTATCAATAAATTAAATAAGAGAAATAATTTCATTAGTTATATTGTCTTTATTTTTCTCTAATATCAAAATTTTTTACATTCAAATTCATCAATTGATTATATTCGCTTCATTGTCCATACAATGTCTTTATTCAAAAAATAATAATAATTATTCATTATCAATAAATTAATTAAGGGAAATAATTTCATTAGTTATATTGTTTTTATTTTTCTCCAATGTAAAATTCTTTACATTCAAATTCATCAATTGATTATATTCACTACATTGTCTATAGAGGTGGTCACGGGCCGGTTCAAGGTCGAACCAACCCTGAATCAGCCTGGAAAAAAGTGGGTCTGGGCCTCATTGGGCCTGAGCCGGGCTTAGCTCGAACCGGAACCGCCTTGTTAAGGGTCGGTTTAGGTCCTTTTAAAAAAAATTCGAGGCCCAGCACGGAACCGGCCCATGGCCCAGGCCCGAGCACGACCCAAGCCCCTAACCGGCCCAGGCACGGCCTAGGCACGGGCCTAAGCCCGGGCAAACACAGCCATGGCAGCAAAGCATGCTAGCTTTGCTTCCATGGTTAAATGCCTATAATTCAAAAAAAATAGTAATTTTGATTGTTGCAGCTAGACTTATTACTTACTACTCATCCCTGCAACGTGCAACGTGCAACGGCCAAATAATGTTGCATTTAGCCTCTGTGGGAGGCTAGACTAGGCTTTGCCTCCGGTAGAGGCTATTCCTGTTCTCGCCTCTTGGATAGTGCAACAACTAATTTTTTTTGTTTTTCTTATTTTTATTTACCATTTTACCCTATAAATACTCTTTATCCAATTTATTTTTATCACACAAAAATTCTTAATTCGACACTTTCTTACTTCTGCTCACAACAATTCTCCATAAATTAAAAGCAAACCCAGTTTAAAAGTCTTTTATAAATTTTTAATTTATCATCTAACATAATTTAGTCAGTAAAAATCAAATGAACTTTATAAACTATACTACATTTTATAATATTTATAAGTTATCAAATAATATTAAGTCAATAAGTCTTATATAAAGTTTTAACAGTACAAGACTACAAGTTCAAATGTATTTAACGTCATTTATAAATTTTAATTTAGTAGAAAATCATGTTAATTTTAAATTTTGAGATTAATAACAAAAATATTAATTTTAGAAAAGTGTGTGACTGTGTGTAATGTGTATATATACATTAATTATTATTAATGCGTCAAGAGGTTGTAGTAGTTTAGTTGGAAAGAATTTAAATTTATAACTAGGATTAAGATAAGAGGTTAAGGGTTTAAATCTTATTTCAAACAAAAATATATCAACTTATATAAAAATTTATATATTTAAAAAAATAAATAATATAATAAATTACGGGCCTAGCCCGGGATCGGCCACAAGAAGCCCGGGATTGGCCCGGCACGGGACCAGCCCTGAATACTATGGGCCGGTCCCGAGCTGTGCTGGCCGAGGCCCAGGACTGGCCCGGAACCGAACCGGGCCCGGCCCAGGCCCGGACTTTGGCCAGCTCTAATTGTCTATTATCTAATTTGTGCACTATTTTTAAATTAAATATCAAAGTTATAATACAGAATAATGCCATATATTTAGTTACCAAATATTTTATTAATACTATGAAAAAATTTAAAATAATATTTAATTAATAAAGCCAATCATAGTAACTACTTGAGGAATTTGTTGACAAAGAGAGTATTCAAATCACACAACAAATTGAAGTGAGAAACTACCTCTCAATATATCAACGGTGAGGAAAAAGATATTTCAAAAATTAGCAATTTAGATTAACATGTAAAATGACCTAATACATGTTACCCCACCTTTCTTAATTCTAAATCCCAAATACTTAACTTAATAAGATAAGCTAAACAAGTTTAAAAGAAAGATTCAATAACTTAATTCAACCAAAACCATCCAACGGGTGTTATCGCCACAGCGGTGACTGCACAGGCTAAAAAGGACAAACTAGACAAAGTCAAACTTCATCAATTAACAACCTTAAAACTAGGGGAAACAAGCCCAGGTGTCCAAGCACCAACAAAAGATCAATCTAAGTAACTAGCATCAATCAACTAGGTAGAATCTAAATCTAGAAACTACCGCTGCAACTACGCACTAATCTATCTCATGCGCTCTCAAACACTGGGCCCACCTGAAAGGCGTTATAAAAACAAGCAAATAAAAAACAACCTGTTAGCACGAATGCTAAATATAACACCACTCAACCCTATAAAGTACTATAGATATACTTTTGGAAAACATTTGGCATTCACACTTAAATCAAATACTTCCAATTACTTAAACAATAACTCAAATCATACTCAACAATATGATCTATATGCTTGCAACCTAATTATCAAATAGACATGCTTTCTTAAGTACTACACTCAAACACGTATCTCATGCTTCAAAAAATATCATTAAACATAGCTCAAATGTAAACTCATGCTCAACGGATAGATAAAAGATACTAAATAACTCAACAAGCAATCTCATACTGACAATCGATAGCCAACTTTAGTCAATTAAGCTTTACTCAACATCACACTAATAGATAAAGAATTAACTAATACTTAGCAAATAAGCTCATACTTTCATGCCAACTCTTAAACAACAATAAAGCTTTACTTCTCAATAGACTTTAATGCAAATCGTGCAAGTCACGCAATAAGATAATCATGATGCTTTATATATATAGATATATATACTCTCTCTTTTATGTAAAAAGAAATATCTCTTTTTATTTGGAGGTTTCTGTTGAGTCACACTGACTCGCTTTCTCTTCTTTCACTTTCGATCTCATATTTCTCGTTTCTCTTCTTGTGGGAGGCAAGTACTACGCCGTAGCGAAGTCCTAGCGTACGGTGCAATCTCATGCATTTGTCACATCCGTATCAACGGAACCTCTAACTCGTGGGGGAGGTAGGACCTTCACGACTCGTGAATAGACCTATACAGGCTCGGCAATCTAGCCGGCTTAATACTCAACTCGCCCACAGAACCACTCTCTTGGTTCTTAATCTTTCTTTCTTTCTTTATTTCTCTGTGGAATCGGGTATCGTACTTTTAGTGTGCAAACCCCCTAACCAGGATTCCAAGCCCGACGGGTAGTCTCCAACCTAGTAACTCGGGAATATTGGATATGGTGCACAGCGGAAATAAATAAAGATAAAATGTGTGTGAGATTGTGATATGTATATCTCGTGAGAAGCAAGTAAAGAGCAGTAAGTAAAGAAAGCAGTAAAGAACAGAAGACAATTATAGTGGTTCGGAGGTGGTGTAATCCTCCTACTCCACTTGCTCTTATCTCCAAGAGCAATTCACTATATCCACCACTTCTTGGTTCCAAGATACAATGAATTCCGTGATCTAGTGCTTTGATCACCAAGCCCGCACTAATCACGCCCAGTGACACCACACTGCTGCTTCGGGTTTCACGTCTCCGCGCTACTATCCCAGGATTTCACGACTCCGCGTTACTTTCCTCCCGTCTTCCACACTCCGGTAGAAACGTATCCCGTGATCTAGTGCTTTGATCACAAAGCCAGCACTAATCACGCCCAGTGACACCGCACTGCTGCTTCGGATCTCACAGCTCCGTGTGACAATCCAGGATTTCACAGCTCCGTGCTACTTTCCTCCATTTTCTTGTTTTGCTCCAAAACAAGTTTTGTCTTGCTTCCAACTTCGAGACTCTGTAGTTGATCTTCAATGATGCGCTTAGTCTCTTTGATGAAGATGTAACACTCTTTGAAAGATTTTTCTTGAACGCTCTGAGTGTTTTTCTCTCTTTGAAAGTATCAAGTAAAGCACTTGATTTTTATGCTCTGTTTAGCTCTGCTTTTAGAACTCTCTAAATATTTCTCTTTTAAGCTCTTAGAGTTATTTCTCACTTGAAGATTTCTTTTGGTATGCTCTGTACCAAATGAGATTTTTGCTCTTTGCTCTCTTATTTCGTGAGTTCGTGTTCTCTGCTCTCTTACTCGTTAGTTCCCCATCTTCAAGTCTTCATATCTTCATCCTTATATAGCTGGTAATGAGAATCTGCCCGTTGAAAAGAGACGATCTCATTTTTGAATTCTTGTATCTTTTGTTAGAGATCTTATCTTATCTTCTGGCAAAGTGTCAGAAGAGATAAGCTAGCCGTTGGTAGAGCTTCAACTTCGTGCAAATGAGTTTCCAAACTTCATCTGATATTCCTCTGATTTTCTCACGTTTCTTGGGAATATCTGGGTCTCAGTTTTGTGTAACCATATATAACTTAGGAAAGAACTAAACTTATTGAAAATTAATTATTTATAATTTCACCTTTAATATAAATATGTAGTTTTAATATCCGAAATCAATAAGATTTTTCTTAATGTGGATCTATATATTTTAAATAATTTCAATTTAATAATATTATACCTTAATTATAAAAATAATGCATAATATATATATGATTAGAGATTATATATACGGTAAGAAAAATTAACAAAAAAAAAAAGAAAAAAAGAAAGACAAAGGCGAGCCACGGACTCCCTTTATAAATGATGTGGGATCATTTTAATCCCACATTGAAAATGTTTGAAAAGAGAGAGCTCCTCTATATAAGAAGAGCAATGATCCTCTTATAAACATAATTGCTTGCCCATCAATGTGGGCAAGTATTGAGAAGTCAAAAGGTTTTTATTTAAGAAGCTTTAACTTTGTCTTCTTATTTTAGTTTTTATTTATTTATTTATTATTGATTTATTATTATTAGTGGGGGTTGTGGAAGATTAACCCAAAATGTATGTGTTGTATTAGTTTTTAGTAGTTTGGAGCAAATTACTAGGTTATTATGTAATATATTTTGGTGTTTTGATTAAAGTTAAAATATTAAAATGACGAATTTATTAAAATTTTGACGAATTTATCAATAATCAAATTACAAATAATAAGCATTCAAAAAAAAAATTACAAATAATAATAATAATAATAATAATAATAATAATAATAATAATAATAATAATAATAATAATAATAATCATCCAAACAAAACGATATACAAAATAAAATTAAAATTAACAAGAAGAATACAAAAGGGATCCACGGGCTCCCTTTGTAAATGATGTTGGATCATTTCGATCCCACATTGAAAATGTTTGGAAAGAGGAGCTCTTGAGCTCCTCTATATAAGCTCCTTTTACAAACATAATTGTTTAACCATCAATGTGGGTAAGTATTGAGAAGTCCGAAGGCTCCTATTTTAATTTTGAGTACTATTGACCCGGCAAATTATGCTGTGAAACCGTGTCCACCTTGCATGGTAGACACAGTTCTAAAATTGTTCATAATTATGAATATATAGTTCTATAATTATGAACATAGTGTTGTGAACATAATTATGGACATATAGTTATATAATTATGAATATAGAGATTCAATAATTGTGAATATGAAGTTCAAAAATTATGAATATATAGCTTTATAATTATGAACATATAGTTCAGTAATTATAAACATACAGTTTTGTAATTGTGAATATAGAGTTCAATAATTATGAATATGAAATTCAAAGATTAGGAATATATAGCTTTATAATTATGAACATATAGTTCAGTAATTATTAACATAGAATTGTGTCCACCTTGCATGGTGGACACGGTTCCACAGCATAACTATTCGATTGACCCTGTTACATATAATATATGTTCATATAAACTTTCTCAACCTATTGAAGCCCAACGAGTCAAAAGACTCTATAAACCTTATCTTAGTGACTTCTTATTTTAGTTTTTTTTTTAAAAAAAAAAAAAAATTATTAGGGGGTTTGGGAAAGATTAACCCAAAATGTATATGTATTGTTTTAGTTTTAGTAGTTTGGAACAAATTGCTAAGTTATTAAATAATATTTTTTTTGTTTTTTCATTAAATATAAAATGTTAAACATGAAAATTTATTAAAATTTTGTCGAATTTGCCAAATAATCAAATTACAACAACAACAACAATAATAATAATAATCCAAACAAAACTATGTACAAAATAAAATTAAAATTAACAAAAAAAAAAAAAAAGACAAAGGGGAGCCACGGGCTCCATTTGTAAATGATATGGGATTATTTTGATCCCACATTGAAAATGTTTGAAAAGATGAGCTCTTGAGCTCCTCTATATAAGAGGTACAAACATATTTGTTTGCCCATCAATGTTGCAAGTATTGAGAAGTCAAAAGGTTCTTATTTAAGAAACATTAGCTTTGTCTTCTTATTTTAGTTTTTATTTATTTATTATTTATTATTTGTTATTAGTGGCGGTTGGGAAACATTAACCCAAAATGTATGTGTTGTTTTAGTTTTTAGCAGTTTAGAGCAAATTACTGAGTTATTAAATAATATTTTTGGTGTTTTGATTAAAGATAAATTGTTAAAATGGCGAATTTGTTAAAATTTTGGTGAATTTGTTAATCTCAACTTTTTTTAAAAAAATTTTCAATAATAATAATAATAATAATAATCCAAAAAAATGATATACAAAATAAAATTAAAATTAGAAAAAAATAAGAAGAATGATGTGGGATCATTTTGATCTCACATTAAAAATGTTTGGAAAGATGAGTTCTTGAAAATGTTTACAAATATAATTGCTTGCCCATCAATGTAGGCAAGTAGTGAGAAGTCCAAAGTTTTTATTTTTAATTTTAATTTTTTTGTTTAGAAGTAAAGGAAAATAAAAAATGGAAAGGAAATATTTCAATAATAATATTTGACATCATCAAATAGTAAAGACATATTTTAAAAAATAGTAAATGTAAATTAAAAATGAAACAAAAATATTTCATTAATAATATTCTACATCATCATATTAATAATAATACGGAAATTAGGTAAATATATCACTACATCTATATTCTAATTGACTAATTGACTGAAAAAAAAATAATTGACTGAAAATGAATCTAATATTACTAATTGACTGAAAATATAAAAGGAAATGAATATTAATAATTGACCGCAAATAAAAAATGATCCATAATTGACTAAAAAAAATGGCCAGATCATTGCATTTTAATTAAAAATGAAATGAAAATTAAAAATTGGAGGAAAGTATTTCAATAATAATATTCTACATTGTCAATAGTAAATGCATATTTTAAACAATAGTAGAGATAAATTAAAAATGGAACAAAAATATTTCAATAATAATATCTACATCATCAATTAAAAATTGAACGAAAATTTGGTAAAAATATCACTGCATTTGATATTCTAATTGACTAATTGACTGAAAATAAAAAAAAAATAATTGGCTGAAAATGAATCTGATATCACTAATTGACTACAAATATAAAAGAATAACTAATTGAGTAATATTCTACCATTATATATTTTAACCCAAGTAACCCGTCCTGATGGATTGAAGGTGTTAGCTCTAGACGAAGATGAACAAGATTGTGTTGTCACTACCAATGTCGTTTACAAAGAGGTTTCAATAATGTGTAAATATAATCGGTGATATTAAATTTTTTTTTTTTAATGAAAAAATTGTTATATATCTAGACAAAAAAAAATATCTTCCATACAAATGAATAAGGATACCAATTCATTTCTATAACCGAGCTGTTAGAGAACGAGCACACATTTGTCTAATTTATGAAAATACTAAATAATAATAAATAAAATCTTCAAAGTTATAGCACCGTATGCGTACATCTAGACATTAGCCATTAATTTGAGCAATTATTTGCACAAATTCAAGCAATGATAACATCAAAATATATAAATGATCCAAACAATATCTTTAATTGCAATATATAATATTTGATGTTCTAATTTAAATAATTATATATCAATTCATATATTCTTAATATATTACAACAAATTCATTCTGTGCATCGCACAGGTGCAAATACTAGGGATGCAAATTCATTAAATATGTAAATGATTAGAGATTATATTAAATAATATGATACCAGGACTATATGGTCTAATGGTACCC